AACTTTAGAAACACACTCACACACACATACACACACACACACATACACACACACATACAAACCCAGATGATTACATAACCTCCTGGCGGAGGTAATTATAGCTTATAATTAGTCGAATTAGCGAAAATTGACTATATTCATGACGCGCTTGTCAAGCGAAAAACACACTGCCCAAAGATTTTATTATTTATTCTAGTAGATGTGTCATAATACTCAGTAGCTGCAATAGATTGGATACCTGATACCGTTGCACTTTTGAGAAAAAATAATTTACCGCCAGCATACTAACACGAATATTTAATCAGCTGTCCGAAAGACGTTTTTTAAAAATACACAATATTTTGTTTGCTTCAAGTGATCAGGATAATTTTTAGTTTAGGTTTATGCCTAGGCAGGAAATAATAAAATATGTAAGTTTCAGAAAGTTAGAATAAAAGCGCGAGATGAACTGTGAGATATAAAAATCTAAAAAGCTCAAATATCACTTGCGTAATTAACGTTTTAACTTGTTTTCGAACGCGTCCGAAAATAATTGCGAAAAAATTTTTAAAACTGACTACAATTGCAAAGTCAACGTTTTTTGTTCATTTTATTAATGACTTCTTCCACACAGAAAGTTTGAAGGAAATCTGTAATCTTAAGAAATTCGAGTGGTCGGTTTTTACACGGACTGCCTCTTAAAATACTTATCAAAATATCATAGTAAAAACTTCAAACTATACCTATGTGAACCTTACTTTACCTACTAACCTAAATTTACTTACAATTTTATCGAACCAAAATTTTGATTACGTAATGTTAGCATTACTCAACCGCGCGAAATATACCGAAGAATGATTGACAGAAAGGCCCTAAGCATGCACATTTTTCATGTCAAAGAAGAACCAGCCTTGGACTTTGAATTATGTAAACACAACAGCCCACCATGCAAGGCTATCGTCCAACTTTGACAAATTATTTATCTTGCCTAATGGACAGATAATTGACACTTTTACACAAGTCCGAAATGATATATACTTTATCTGCGTTTTACAGCAAAAATGCTCATTATCTCTCCATTTGACGTAACTAGTATCTATAATTACCTGGGGTGCAAATTGAACTATTTTTATACTATTTAGATATACTTTCGTAATAATATAAATGTATAGAAGAGATATGCTATTATGAATGTATGGACAGGTGTTTGTATCAAGTTGTTTTCTTTTCAGTATGTTCTGCATATATATGTTAAGGCTTTCGAAAACACTATCGAATTTTTCCATGATATTTTACAGAGAAACGTCACAGCTGCAAATCCCCACCTCCAAACAAACATATAACGTTTCTCGTAGACAAGATGGATATGATGAAGCTTCCTTTAACCATTAAACTGATGTTTTATAATAATAGTTTTATTGATCCATCTTTAGTGTAAAAATACAATGGATTTTGCATAAGATGGTCTAAAATGAGGAAAGTCCAGGCAAGAAATAAAACAAAGTCCTGAATTAACTTTTATTGGCAAAAATTATTACGCCTTGCCCACCTTGCCCACTTTCTGCCTCGCACTAACGTTTTATAAGAAGGGTCGTAACTAGACGTGATAATTGGGTGGGGAGTGCATATTCATATATTCATGTTCACAACCGTTATAACGATCGCTTCAAAAGAAAATAATAGGGCGGAACACGAATATATTAATATGCACCCCACCACCACACCACC